CTGCTTCACTCTCGGCTTCTGTGACACTCAGAATCATAACAGACAAGATTTATTGAGTCCTTGCCATGTGCCGGATGTTGTAAAATGCACAGCACTTCATTTAATCATCACGGCTATCTGGGAAGTGGTCTTGATGTCCCCGTTATGCACGAGGAACTTGAGGCCTGAGGAAATCCTGTGACATGCCCTGGTTGCACAGATGCGGAATCTGGATGTGGACGTGAGTTTCCCAGACTCCAAGGCCCACAGTCTCCCGTGGCATCACACCCTCCCTGCGTCTCCTCATCGCTCTTACTGTTGGTTCTCGGTCTCCTCTGCAGGCTCCGCTGCTCCCAGCGACCCCTTCAGTGTTGGTGTCTATAAGGTTCTCCTCTCTTCTTGCCCCACACGGAGATTCTCAATCTCAAGTCGCCAAATGCCCTCGCTTCCAGGGACCCTGCTCCCTTTGGCAGTGGTGTGTGGCGTGTTGTGTGTGTGTGTACCTGTGTATGATTTTTCTGAGACGAGGAGCCATGGCTTTTATTTGAGAGACAGGCTGCAGTTGTGTTTACTTGGTCTTCGTCTGACACAGTGATGCCCCAGCCAGATCCTGGTCTTCCTGTTCCTCCTTTCCCTGGGATTCCTGAGGAGGCCCTGCAGCAGGACAGTGACAGGTGGGAAAAATAAAATAGCGGTGCCGGGTCCCAGTGCCCTAATGCAGGCTCTCTGAGACTTGAGTCCCAAGCATAAGACTCGTTCCCACCCCGTCCCAATCTTGCTCTCTGCCCGAAGGCAGTAGGAGCTTCAGCGCTCTTAGAACAGGTGAGCAGAGCAGGGACTGGAATGCCGGGCCTGCTCCAGGGAGGCAAGCTCTGCCTGCCTTGGCGTACCCGCCGCTGCCTGGGCACAAGGAGCCAGAAGGAGCTGTATGTGTGCCTGTGACTTTGCATTTCCTACTAGTAAACGTGACACACGTATCCTCAAATCCAAGAAGTCACATGAGTTGTTTCCCCTCCTGGGAAAGAGTAATGATGGGAAGAGAGGCAGGAGCCTCCCCTCCACCCTGGAGCGTTTGTCAGCTTCTCAAAGGGGCTTGAGATCGTAAGCTAATTTCCTACCGTTTCACGTGGTGGTTACATACGGGACCCTTAAGCACATGGGAAAAGCCAAGAGGTGTTGTCTCAGAGAGGGAATCTAATGTCACAGAAAGACCCAGGCTCTGAAGTTGAATCCAGCTCAGGTTCTCCCCAGCTGTGTGTGCCTCGGGGCAAGGCCCCTCGCCTCTCTGAGCCTCGGTCCCCTCTGTGAAACAGGATGCAGGGCACCAACCGGAGTGACCCCTAACTCACCTCAGTGCTTCTGGCGGGTAGAAGGGAGGCCCCATCCATCCTTGACTAGCCCCCCAGACCTCCCGAGGTGGGAACAGCAGTGCTGATAATAAATGGAGTGGCAGAACGAACACCCATCCTGGCATCACGACGTTGGGTTTGCATCTTGGTACAGACTCTTACGTGACCTTGAACACACTGCTTCATCTTGGGTCCCATACCTGTAAAGTGGGTGAAAGTTGAAGAGACATAAATAATATCTATGAAAACCAGCCTGTAGCCTCCACACCCCCAGCTGTGCCATTACTGCCTCTCCCTCCCTTCCCGAGCAGCCCCTGCCCTTCCTCCTCTTTAGGGGTATGTGGGCAGCCATGGGCAGGGACCCGGGGTTGTAGGGTGCGGGGAGGATGTTGGGGCCTGCTGGGCTCTGGAGAAGGAACGGGCGCTGTGCTTTGCTCAGCACAGGCTGGTACCTGCCATTCCTTTGAGTACACGTCTGATCCTCCCAGGAGGGGCTTCTCCCCAGTCCTGCATAAGATCTTGGCCATTTCTCCACCATTCCCTTTCCTGATGGGTCTCACTGTCCCGACCTTTACCCCCTTACACACACGCACTTCTGGACACAGAGGGAGGCACAGGAGGAAGCCGGTCTGGGGTCTGCTGTCTCGTCTCACTGGGGCTGAGACCCAGCAAAGTTGGCCCTAAGGGCCCATCCTTTGAGCTGATGCTTGGAGGACGGATAGAATTTGCCCGAGAGAGAGGTGTTGCCAGAGACGGGGAGATGTGAGGAGGGCATGGCTGGAGCAGACAGTCCATTCAAGGCCGCAGAAGACAAGCCTGAAGAGATGCTGAGGCAGTGGAGGAGCCGGGATGGAGTTCATGTCCGCTTACACACCCGTGCCAGGTGCTGCGCTGCTGGGCCACAGAAGTGAATCAGATGTGAGCCCCTGCCCTGGGGCTAATGGCGGTGGTGATAGTAGCTGACCAGTGACTGTGAGCTGGGCACTCAGCCTGAGTTATCTCATTGAGTTCTCACAACACAAGATAAATACCCTTAGTATCCCTGGTTTATCCATAGGGAAATGATAGTTCTCTTGCCCAAGGCCTCCACACAGTTGAGTGACCAGAGCTGAGTTTGGATCTGGGCCCAAGGATCTTCTGTCTTAGTCAGCTCATGTTGCTATAACAAAATACCACAGACTGGGTGGTTTATAAACAACAGACATTTGTTTCTCACAGTTCTGGAGGCTGGAAGTCCAGGATCATGGCACTGGCAGACTTGGTGTTTGGTGAGGGCTTCCTGGTTCATAAATCATTATGTCCTCACTTGGTGGAAGGAGCGAGGGATCTCTTGGGCCTCTTTTGTAAGGGCGCTGATCCCATTCTTGAGGGCTTCACCCTCAGGACCTAATCACTTCTCAAAGGCCCACCTCCTAATACCATCACCTTGGGCATTAGGTGTTCAACATAAATGAATGGGGGGGGGGATGGGCCACAAACTTTCAAAGCATAGCAGATCTTTTTTTATATAAATTTATTTTATTTATTTTTGGCTGCGTTGGGTCTTCATTGTCGTGTGCGGGCTTTCTCTGGTTGCGGTGAGCAGAGGCTACTCTGTGTTGCAGTGCGTGGGCTTCTCACTGCGGTGGCTTCTCCTGTTGCAGAGCACGGGCTCTAGACATGCGGGCTTCAGTAGTTGAGGCACGCAGGCTCAGTAGTTGCGGCTCATGGACTCCAGAGCGCAGGCTCAGTAGTTGTGGCGCACGGGCTTAGTTGCTCTGCAGCCTGTGGGATCTTCCCGGACCAGGGCTCGAACCCGTGTCCCCTGCATTGGCAGGAGGATTCTCAACCACTGTGCCACCAGGGAAGCCCCTAGAGCAGATCTTAACTCCATATTTTATCACCTCCCAAAGGTTAGAGGTCATTGCTACCTTGGGATGAAGGTATTCAGGAAAGACATGAGAAAGGAGAAGATGCTGAGTCTTAAGAAACAAGTAGGGTGGATCAGGTGGGTGGAGGCGGGGAGACCATTAGAGACAGAAGGAGCAGCATCAGCAAAAGAATGGAGGCACGAATCAGCAGATGCAGACTTAAGTCGGGCTGACATGAAAACTGGAGCAGCAGGGAGGGTTACTGGCTAAAAAACTCTGATCTCCTGTGGGCAGTGGTGATGTGATCCGGTTTGTATATAGAAAGATCACTCTGGCAGAGAGCAGAAAGTGGTTTGGGAGGCAGAGGTGGCCCATTCTGGGCACTCATTTTGGGTGAGTGGAACTCACCAATTATTCTGTACTTTTCCAGTCACTCTCCTGGGCTCTGGGGGCGGTTAGTGGCCAACGAGACAGACACTGGACATGGCCTCATTACAATAGTCCATTTGAAAGATGATGAGACCTGGACTTTAGGTGGTAGCAGTGGGCTTGGGAGGAAAGGATGGATCCGTGGGCTGCTATAGAAAATAGGATCGAGATGACCCAGACGACGCGTAGGACAGGATGGGCTGGACAGATGAAGCGGGATGCAAAGTCGATTCCCGGGCTTCCGGTTTGGAGGATGGAGTGGACAGCAGAGGTCAGGGAACACAGAAGGAGGAGCAGATCTGGGGGGACCAGAAACAACTGAGATGTCCAGCAACACAGGGGTTGCTTACATAGGCTATGGGACATCCCTGGGACATCTCTCCAGCCTACAGGGTTGGTTTGTGACTTTCTCCAGCAGTACTCAGGAGCCCAGTTGTAAGGGTGGGAAAGGTGGATGTATGGGTTGATCTAAGTTCATGGTTCCCCTGGGCTAGGACAATAGAATGACAAGGGGCAGGGAGTTGAGTGTGCTCATGAGAGAGTGGCTGAAGCGATACACTCAAGGGACTAGACCAGGGAGGGCTCGTGTACTGAACAGAAAGGCAGGGCTGGGAACTAGAGGAAGGGAGAGAGGTAGAAGGAGAGGAATTTGTGGCCCTGGAGTGGACCCTGGGGTGTCAGGTTTGTTTCAGAGCTGATGCCTTTCCAATCCCGTACTGAGATCCCTCAGGGAAGAATCATCCCGTTCTGCAATTAAAGAACTGAAGCTTAGAGAGCTTGTCACCTGCCCAAAGTCACCCAGCTCCATCGGTGGCAGAACTGGGGTTGGAGTGTTGTTTTCTGCTCTGCCATACTAGCTCACCTTCTGTCTTTATTTTTCAGGTTCACTTTAGAACAGTTGACTGAGAGCGAGGAAATTCAGCAGAAGGGAAAGGAGGCGAGCCCAGCAGAGCAGATAGGAGAGAGAGGGCAGGCTCCTCCTGGGCCCCTCAGTAGCGGCGAAGGGGAGGGGTACTGCTGGGCCGTTGGGTCTTCCTCGTGGCCCAAGACCCACCCACCCCCCCGCCCAAGGTCAGAGCAGCACAGCCCAGTGCCCCACGCCCTGTGCCCCGCCCTGCAGCTCACTTGGTATCCTCCATCCACACTGGCCCCACTGTGTGCTCGCTGTGCCCTACCATGTACCTTGTCTCTGCCACACATCCTGTGTCCCCAGCACCCACCAGGTCGTCCGTCCTCCAGCCGTGTTTGTTCCCCATGCCCCAGGCTCCCTGTATATACCTTATGCCCCCCACCTTGTTTCTCATTAGCCTGTACACACTTTGGGTCCCCACCACTCACCCAGTCCCATCACAAGCTGTGTGCCCGCTCATGCCCACCTGTGCTATGTCTACAGAGCGCGTCAGATGGCTTCTGGAAATCTGTGGCCACTCGGGTGCCCAAGGAACCCCCTGAGATTCGCATCCTCAACCCATATTTCATCCAGGAAGCCGCCTTCACCCTCATCGGACTGCCTTTCAACAACGGCCTCATGGGCCGCGGGGTGAGATGTCTGGATCCTGGGAGAGGGAGAAGGGGACCTGGGCCAGAGGTGCCTTGGGAAGGAAGGACAGGGTGGCAGGGTGGGGACAGAGGATTCAGTTCTCAGGAGCAGAGCTCAGCTCTGGAGAGCTTCGCTGAGGGTTTCAGCCTCACTCTGAACCCCCTTCCCTTCATCCAGAACATCCCGACCCTCGGCAGTGTGGCAGTGACCATGGCACTACACGGCTGTGATGAGGTGGCAGTTGCAGGCTTCGGCTACGACATGAGCACACCCAATGCACCCCTGCACTACTACGAGACCGTGCGCATGGCGGCCATCAAAGAGGTGCAGGGCTGGGCGGGGGGCAGTCCCTGGGCAGGACGAGGGAGGGGTAAGTGCCAGCACGAAGGACAGACTCTGACTGCGTGTGTACAAATGAATGGTCAAGGGACGAGCCAGCTTGGGGTCTGGCTGCTCAGAGCTCCCTGGAAGGCCCTGCCCCACCCTCAGCTAAGTTGGGTCACCAGGCGTCCATCCCTGCCCGCAGGCCTCTGACCACCAGGTGTCCTCCTCCCTGAGCTCCCCTCCCTGGCCCTCTCCTTGTCCTGGTCCAGCCCCTGCCTCCTTGCTGCTCCCCAGCCACCACATGCCCATCTTGGAGCAAGCTCACAGCCCTCTTCTCTGCTTTGATTCTCCTCTTCCCTCAGAGGACCTCCTCAGCCCCTCAAACAACCCACAGACGCTACCTCTCTGTGCCAGGATGCCCCCATCCCTCCTCCACCCTTCCCCATGGCCAAGCACTAAAGCTTTCTAGCACCCAGAGTTGCTTCCCGGGCGATTCATATGTTCAGGTACCTTAAGTTCTCCCAGTCAGCTAGCCTCTCCTGGCACCTCTCCCTTCACAGCAAGAGCCCATGTGGGAAATCCAAACGCCTATTATAGCACCCTTCGCTTCTACCACTCATCTCCCGCTGCTCCCAGCCTGGACCCTGGGCATCTGGGGCTTGTGCTTTGAGCAGCTTCTCTACTCCTGCATCTGGGTGGCGAGGGTTGTTAGTGTCAATCTCCCAGAGTCCAAGCAGACTCACGGTTCAGCCAGCGCTCGTCCCTGCTCATCAGTCTCTCACATGCCCGTCTCCAACCCCACTGCACTGTTCAGGCCTTATGCTCCCCAAAGCTCCCTCCCTCCCTCTCCCCCTCCACCTCCTCCACCTCCTCTACCGTGAGAAAACTGGAGAAAACTGCAGCCCCGGGGGTGCTCTGCCCCTTCGCCCTTCTCACTCCCACTCACCCTTCACCCCTCGCAGCCTGGCTTCCCCCTTCACCTGACGTGCCTCCCACCAAGTTCACCAGTGACTCGAGGCTGCTGAGTCCAAGGGACACGCATCAGTCAGTCCCGTCTTTTCTGATCGCTCTGAAACACTTTCTGTGTTGACCGGCCCTTCCTGAGATGCTCTCCTGCTTAGACTCTGAGTCGGTCATTTCGGTGCTCCTCCTGTTTCCCTCGCCAGGCTCTCTCATTCTCTTGCTCCGTGTCCTGGATTTCAGTGCATCCCTTAAGAGTCAGCATTAGCTAGGGCTCCATCCTAGACAGTCTTTTCTTCTCACTCCACATGTTTCCCAGGAGATTCACATCCCCATCCTTGGCTTCCGTTCCCATCCATATTGTCTTAGGCTTTTTGGGTTCATTCAGTCGGGCTCGAGTAATTTCGAGTTATTTCAAGGAAATAAGAGAGACTTGGGAATCTCATGAGAAGCCAGAAATAGCCTTACAGGTGGGCCTCCTGTTGCCTGGAATGGGGTTCAGGAGTGGAAAGCTCATCTTGGGTCCAGGAGAGCCCCTGACCTGTCTTAGCCCCTCAGCAGTGGCTCCAGCCATGCCTCATTTTCACCAGGACCCTGGTGGTCTCTCTGTCTCTGCCTCTCTTCACAGATCTTCTTGCTGCTTCGTCCCCTGCCAGCACCCACTCCAAACTGCTCTCACTGCTTTTACCTGCCCCCGGCTTCTGTTTACTCCTATATTTGGTCTCTTGCATATTCCTTTTACATAAACTTTATGTAAAAGTTTTAGGCAGGAGGTGAGAGGCCGCAGACGTAGGCAGTAGCCGGATCACGAAGGGCTTTCTCTGCCACGGTAAGGAGCGTGGACTTTGCTCTGAAGGCAGGAGGGAGCTATGGACCAGTTTTAGGCTGTAGATTAGCATGTAGTAGGGTCAGTGTGGCTGCAGCGTGACCTAGAGGGTTCCAGGCAAGAACAGAAACCAGGCGGGACACTGTCTCAGCAGTCTAGGCAAGAGATGAAGGATCCTGCACTGGAACTGTTCAGTGATGGTGGGAAGACAGAGGTAAGAAACGGTTAGGATTTTCAGTCAGCAAGGCCTGGAGGTGGCCTCCATGCAGGAATGAGGTGGAAGGACACCACCTTCCCTGAGGTGCCCTAGTGGAGGCTGTTCCCTTTCTGCCACCTGCCACATCTCAGTTGTCAGGCCATCGCCCCCGCCCCCCTTCCTCATCCTGTAGAACCGTCTGGCTCTGAGGCTCATGGCATCTGC